ACAAAATAGCAATACAATTAAAAAAAAAAAAAAAGCTATTGACTGACAAGAAGGCCTCATGCAATCTACAGTGTTCTAAGGGGTGGGAGGGGGGAAGAGAGAGACGAGGCAGTGAATATTCTATTTCTTTATATCAGGAGATGAATCTTACCTCCAAATACTGTTTCCTCGTTAGAAAATCCAAACAAGAAAAATTACAGATTTTTAAATTAACTATCCATTTCACATTAAAAATGCTATTATATTTTTATACCTAAAAAGAGTAGTGAGTGGGCTGATATGTGTGCAAACAGATGAGATGGAGTGATTTACACAGATCTTTGATGCAGTGTGCTTTCAGAGATTATCTGTGTGTATGTATCAGAACCTGCAGCATAATCCCACAAAGAAATTCTTCTTGAAGAAATCTTGTAGCTATAATAATAGATCTTCTAGTACTGTCGCTTTTTAGAAGATTTTTCTGAGAAGCTCCTTCTTTTTTGTGTACCATGTATCCACTGTTAATTTCTCTCACACAGTCAGGGTTTATGAAATACAATACCTGGTATTTTAATAATCATGCAAAGTGCTGCTATTAAAGGCTTATTTAGTTACTTACACACATGGTGGGTTTTTTGGTTGGTTGGTTGGTTTTTTTATGGCCAGAAGCTAAACACGGGAAGGTCAGAGAAACTCTCCTTATGCACTTAATTTATTTGGGGTTTTTTTAGGTCAGATATAGTTTATTCAATTTGAAGTTCTCTCCTGTGTTTTGATCCAAATGTAGACATTCCATACCAAATTAACTGTGAGAGAACTGTACAGATAATATTATCCCAGACAGGTGTTTTCTTTTATATCTTCAGCTGTGTTCACTGTATCCAGGATGTTTACAAAGGAAAAGAAAGATTTCAGCCCTTTCTGTTTAATTTTCTGATTTGAGTGTTCAATTTCTAGTAATGCCTCTGTGGCACCACCATCAGAACTCGATCAAAGTTACCAAAGTGAAGAGAGAATATTAGAATCTCCTCTCTGCATTTGTGACCTAATTCATACTTTCCTATCACGGAGCCTTAGTTACTCCTCTCTTGTGCTTTTCTGCCTTTCCCTTTTACCCTTGGGTTGTCACAAATTTCTGGTGACCTTCTGAGAAGGGCATGTGCTCCTGAGCTGGAAAATGGAAGCCAAAATAAAAGAATTAATATAATTACTGAGAAAGTCAGCAAGCGGAGAGAGCATTTCTGATTTACAGATAATTTAACAGTGGAGGGGAGGAGAAGTTATTTTCTGTACTGACTTATTTTTGTCTGGAAACAAAAGTCTGGGTAGGGAGCTGTGAAATTCACTACCTGAAGCAGTCAGATCCTCAGGAAAACTCGTGACTGGTAGCTGAGGTTGGTTTTTTAGTTTCTATTATGTGTTTCATTCTCTGTTGATCGCATGAACAGCTGCTTTCCCCGGGGGTGTGGAACTACTTACTGTTTTGAATTTGAACAAAGTGGCTATATAAAAATTTTTACAAGCCATAATATAAATTAATCAAATCAACACTGTCTGTGCAATTTGTTTGGCATTTTTTTTTTGCATTTCTGTCTTCTTGTTATTGGCCATAATGCTGCCATTGACACTAAGAAAGCTTACCTTTGAACTTGCCATATTAGATCATACTGGTAATTTAGTCCAATAATTTCAGTAAAAGCAGCAACAAATCCTGTCAGAAACTTACATGCAAAACATAAAAGGGGTAAAACATCTTCTTTTCTATATAAGCTGTAATGTTGACTAGTTGCAAAGTTGACTAGAGTCCTGAATTTAAAAGTGTCATATTTATTGCAATATGGCTTGCTGTAAATTATAGAAGCTTTGGATGTTTTTAATATCGGTGTTTAATCTGTTTTAAATTTTGTTAAAATCATGGCACTTTCTGTGGCAACCATAGCCACTCTAATAATGTTTTACTGATTCAGACATTCCTTCCAAATGGAATCTGGATTAATTAATTCAGGTTAATTTGGGGTTAATAAAGAAACCCTTATTCTTTTGTTATGGAAGAAAGCTTGCAGGAAAGAAAGAAAGAAAGATTCTTGATCTATCTGTAATTTAAATCAATCATTAATTTATATACTTATTTCAATTTACCTTCTATTAACCTCATTTCTGAAGCAATCAATGTTCCTCTCCTACCTCTATTAAGTATTTCCAGCCAATATAGCAGGTTCAGATATAAGAATTTTCTATAATGCTCATGAACATTTTTTTTTAATTGCTAAATATACGTAGAATATTCATCTTTCACCTTCTACTCCTGCCTTATATACCAAACCCTTTGGAATAGTGATTATTTTGAACAGGGGGTGGTTTGCCTTTTGCTATGGACAACATATCAAATGTTGTAATATCATCTTCAGTGTGTGCCATCTGGGTCTGATGCTTCCATTGTCAGTTGGCTTTGGTGCTTCCAGCGTGTTCAGAGAAGAAAGCCTAGTCCCTAAGTAGAGTTATTACTTCTAGCCTGATTTATATGGGAGATACTTTCTATAACATTTTGTGATAGTTTAGCTTAGCTGGCAGCCACTTGCTGCCCCCTTCCCTCCCGCCCCCTTACCCCAGGGAACTGGGGAGAGAATTGAAGGGGTAAAGGTGAGGAGACTTGTAGGTTGAGATAAGAACAATTTAATAATTAGAGTAAAATTAAAATAATAATAACAACAAATATATATATATATATATAAAATGAGTGATGTAGAGTACAACTGCTCACCATCCGCTGATAATGATCCTGGAGGAATGAAAAGGAACTGGAAAATTGCAGTCCCGGAAAAGTGAGCCTGAGTGATTCCCGAGAGAATCCCCCCCTTTCCAGTCAATCCCGGTTAATATACTGAACATGATATAATGTGATGTGGAATATCTTATTGGCACATCCAACTGTCAGTTCTGGGTTTTACCAACTCCTACACTTTTCTTCTCCCAACCGCTTCCAGTCCTCAGCTCTTGCAAACTGGCCCAGCACAGTGTCCTTGTAGTTACCAACATTGTTCTCAGAACAGTCCTCACTCAAACCAAAACACGGCTCTTTCTAGCTACTAAGAAGAAAATTAACCCTGGCCTAGCAAAACCAGGACACATTTTTGCTCATTTTATTTAAAATTATGTTGTAAACCGCAGAACACTAATCTAGCAATACTACTGCAGTTCTTGTGTCTCTAAGCTTTTTATGCATTCTGTATAATATTATGCTGATTGAAATTTTTTTCTGGCAAAATTCAATCATTCATACACTTTTTTTCTGCTTTTTAATCCTTTTCCAGGAAGTGGGAAGATACTAAACTGAGCAAAGCAATAGCTTTTCTTCCATCAGCCAAAGAGCATCCATTTCATTAAGAACCAGAAATCTTGTTTGAAATACTTTTTATATTTTCTATGAGAAAATTTGTTAGGAAATGGGAGAAAAAAATATTGCTTAGAATGTTTTTAAATAAAACATACCTGTCTGTTATATACTTTTTAATGCTAACTTTGTTGCTCTGACACATCTTATATGAATCATTCCTACCAATACTGACTTGGGGTATTCAGTATTCTGTAATTTGTTTACTGTTTGCACATGCGACTGAGATTTGACTTTCTTCTGCAAAAGTGCTGCTCAGCATTTTTGAAGCTGTGTTGTGTTCATGAAGCACATGTGTTCATGTATTTGTGTGGGATGCTCAGGCTAAGACAAAGGGCTTTTCTGGTCTGTACTGTGATTTCAGTGTAGCAGTCTGAAGTTGACCGAAGAGAATGACAGTGTCTTGAGTTGGGAGGGACCCGTAAGGATCATCGAGAGATCATCACTGGTGCAGCACACTGTCCTTTCTTCAGACTCCAGGGAATAAGCAGATGAAATTTATTAGGCAGTGAAAGAAGACTGAGGGAATTTGTTGCAACTGGAGAACTGAGGCATGACATGTTTAGGGGAGAAGGCTTTTGGGAAGGGGCAGATGGCACTAAAATTTCTGCAAGGCCTTTGCTGCTTGTCATTTTTTCTATATGAGTGCAGATAGGTGAGGGAGATCAAGGAGTCCTGTCGCTAATACAGGCACATAGCTGAGAAGGGAATAGTTTGGTGGCCTGGTTGGCAGAAATGAGGCGTATTTTACCCGAGTCTTGTCAAGCAGATTGCATGAGATACCAGCTGAAATGCAGTCAGTGAGAACAAAGTAATTTGAATTTCAAAAAGAAGAAAATAAAACTTTTGAGGTTTATAGCAGAGAAGCAATTTAAGAGGTGGCGTGTCTGGCTTCTTAGCCCATGGGTTATTTTAAATGATAGAATCACAGGATGGTTTGGGTTGGAAGGGACCTTAAAGCTCATCCGGTCCCAACCCCCCTGCCATCAGCAGGGACACCTTCCACTAGACCAGGTTGCTCAAAGCCTCATCCAGCCTGGCCTTAAACACTTCCAGGGAGGAGCAGCCACAGCTTCTCTGGGCAACTTGTTCCAGTGTCTGACCATGCTCACAGCAAAGAATTTCTTCCTAATATCTAATCTAAACCTCCTCTCTTGCAGTTTAAAGCCATTTCCCCTTATTTTGTCATTAACTGCCCTTATAAAAAGTCCCTCCCCAGCTTTCTTGTAGCTCCTTCAGGTACTGGGAGGTCGCTATAAGATCTCCCTGGAGCCTTCTCTTCTCCAGGCTGAACAGCCCCAACTCTTTCAGCCTGTCCTCGTAGGAGAGGTGCTGCAGCCCTTGGATCATCCTTGTGGCACTCCTGTGGACTGTGGAAGGCGACTAATGAGTCTGTGGAAGGTGACTAAAAAAACCAAATTAATGTAAGTTATATCTCTGTTCATATGTGTGAAATTTCTAAATGGATGGAGAATTCTGAAATAATTCCAAGGAGGTGCAGGTACCCCGCACACACAGCCTTTCCTCACACCAGCCATCGCTGTATGTTTCTCTGGCTGTTGCTGCACAGCAGCGTTCTGCCTAAACCAGTTGGTAAACTGTTAAATGTTCCTTTTCTCCACCGACCAACATGGCATGTGATCTAGTGGGATCTGACGGTGCCAGCAGCCGTGGGAGCGCAGGGCAGCAGGTGCGCTCAGCCCAGCGCTTGGATGGAAGATGGGAACGGCTCAGCGTGGAACTGGCAGCAGGATTTGAGGATGTACCATATGCGTACAGAGACGCTTGCAAGGAAATAGCAGAGCAAATTTAGAGTCACACCGCACCAAAGATCTATTTGTTTGACTACCCCTTTCTGATGCTGTTGATCATTGCTCAATAAGAAGTGAAGAGCCAGCTGGGATTTTCCTGTCCCAACACAATATGCTTCTCTCTGAAGAGATGTCTTAGTAGTTTTGAGGGAATAATTTCAAGATAAACGTAGAAGAAACAAAGGATTTAGAGAAGTATCCAAACTTGTATAGAAGGTGCTTAACATGATTGCCTGGGATTATCAATATGTGTCTAGCTACTTCTCTTTGAAGAGATGCTGGTTTAAGTATTTTTCTACTGCTTTTTGTTATTTTCACAAGGCTGAATGAATTGTAAGATTCTTTCTCCCTCAAATTCGATTGGAATTGCCAGGAAGGTTCAAAAATTACGAGAGGTGCAGGGTGCACAAGCCTTCCTTTTATGAGAAACTGGCCTAACTTTCAGTAAAAACTGTATATATATATATGCATGAGATCCCTCAGTCTAAATACACATTTTGTCTGGTACTGGATTTTTTTTTTTAAATATTGCTCAGAAAAGCATATGACCAGTAATTTTTTTTTTTAAATGATTTTTGGGTATTTGTCAGGGTATCAAGTACAGTGTAGCCCTTATCATACATTAGGTGCCAGATGCAATTAATGATACTGGGAAGTTATCATCTTAAAACAGGAATTTGTATTAATCTGAAGATCCAGTGACAGGACATGATATAAAATGTAGAATATGTTAACTGCTTCATGTTTTGTGATACAATAATTTAAATTCTACAAACCAGATGAACTGTATCTCTAAGGCTTTAGCCTTTATTACAATGAATCTTTGTGGTTTCTTCCTGCTTTCATCAGTGTGAGGATACACATAAGGTATTTTTGATTATTTATGGTGGATATCATTCAGTAGTATTGCTTGTGTGTCTTTTGATAGCTTTCCTTACAGTTAATAGTGGTAGCTGCTAATAGGCAAGTGGTGTTTGAGCAGGTGCACAGGTGCTGGGAGTAGCTGGAAGCACAGTTCCAAGCAGGTGTTCTTCACATAGCCCATCAGGTGGGGCTGACTTCCCATGTGAAATCTGTTGTGTGAAGTACAAGGCAACATGTCCAAAAGCATCAAAATGGATTCTGGATATTCTATCCAACACGGTGGCCATGCAGTTACCAGCAGAAATGCAGGAGCAGAATTTACCAGTTACAATCTATACAGGCTCGTCTTCTCCCAGGTGGAATTTTAATTAGTTCCTGGATATAAGATTTTATTATTTTGGTTTAATTTCCCTTTTATGGTTTCTCATTTGTTGGGTTGGGTTTGTTTTTATCAAATGTTTGTGATTTCACAAGATTTTGGATTTTTGTGATAATTAAATTTTCCGGTTGCCATAATGAAATTTGCCATTATTTGTGTCCAAATAATGCTGACGTGAGCAAGGTGAAGTAAGTAACGTGAAGTGAAGTAAGTGAAGTGAGTAACGTTGGTGGTCAGCAGGTAGAAAGATTTGATTCTGCTCTACAAGGCATAATTTAAATGTGAAGCTTGATTTTTCTCAGCTGCTAAGTGCTGCTGCTAATGGAAGTACTTGTTTTATTTTTAGGCACTTCTGTGCCTAAGTGCCTAAATCGTGGAAATGTAGGCATGATTATAGGGGAAATCGTGCTCCAAGGCTGAACCAGAGCTTCAGGGAAGACAGCAGAAACACTGCAGCTCTTTACTAAATATATGTTGCACAGAAGAAAGCGCATGCAATGAGCTTTTAGTGATTGATAGTACAGCTAAGCACCTCTCCTATGAGGACAGGCTGAGAGAGTTGGGGCTGTTCTGCCTGGAGAAGAGAAGGCTCTGGGGAGATCTTATAGCAGCTTCCAGTACATGAAGGGGGCCTACAAGAAAGCTGGGGAGGGACTTTTTATAAGGGCAGTTAATGACAAAACAAGGGGAAATGGGTTTAAGCTGAAAGAGGGGAGGTTTAGATTAGATATTAGGAAGAAGTTTTTCACTGTGAGGGTGGTGAGACATTAGAACAGGTTGCCCAGAGAAGCTGTGGCTGCTCCTCCCTGGAAGTGTTTAAGGCCCGGGTGGATGAGGCTTTGAGCAACCTGGTCTAGTGGAAGGTGTCCCTGCTGCTGGCAGGGGGGTTGGGACTGGATGAGCTTTAAGGTCCCTTCCAATCCAAACCATTCTATGATAATCTATTTGTATTCATCTTCAATACACCTGTTCAGTGAATTGAGTAAATCTGCTTGTGTCACTGGCCACATGTCCTCGTCCTTCATAAGAGCAGTGGAATCATGAAGATCAAAGCATCACTGTCTCTCTCCCAGCAGAGGTGTGTACGTGGCAGGGTGCTTGGCACACGCCGCTGATTCCTGCAGTCCTTGAGCAGTCAGATCGCTTCCCCTCTTGTACCAGCCAGGCTGGGTGTGCTTATATGCAAAGCTGTGTGCAGATGACTTACAGAAGCATTATTTCAGCTACATGTGATCAAAAGTTCCGGTGTCTGTGGTAACATGGAGCAGTGGGCAGTGGTGCACCATGCTGGGATACTGCTCTGGAGCAGCGGTGGCATTTCATTCTCCTCAGCAGTTCTACTCCTGCTGTACCGCTGCAATGAAGGAGAGTGTTCACAACTGCTCCTCGCTCTGCTGTGCTGCCCTTGTGCTTACTGCGCCTGCAGTCAGCATGGGCCCTGTGACTTGTTCTGCTTGGATGAATGGCCACAGGCCTTGGCATCAATATTTGTGTGCAGTTAAACTGTGGCAGTTGTGAGAAGTGTGGAAATGCTGCTGCCTTGATCAGTTATTAATTTTCAGAAGTACATGTGAATGTAGGGGTTAGATTCTTTGTTTCAGACATAAATTGTTTGCAGAAGAAGTATGGGTTTAAGCTGAAAGAGGGGAGGTTTAGATTAGATATTAGGAAGAAGTTCTTCACTGTGAGGGTGGTCAGACACTGGAACAGGTTGGCCAGAGAAGCTGTGGCTGCTCCTCCCTGGAAGTGTTCAAGGCCAGGTTGGATGAGGCTTTGAGCAACCTGGTCTAGTGGAAGGTGTCCCTGCTGCTGGCAGGGGGGTTGGAACTGGATGAGCTTTAAGGTCCCTTCCAACCCAAACCAGTCTGGGATTCTGTGATTCTATGATTCTATTGTAACACCTTTGTTTTCTATGTGGCATTTGGGCAAAATGACACTTAATCAGATGGCAGCATCTTGAGTCAGCTGGACACCAGGAAAGTCCATTCTTCTGTAAGCTGCTACTAGAGGGACATCCCATGGTCAGGGTTAGTCACTTGTCTAGAAGTGACTAACCCTGGTCATCTGCTTGGAAAAAAGTTTGAGTGAGTAAGGTGATAAAGCCAATATACATTTTATATTTAATTCACCTCGGAGAGTCTTATGATGCCAATTATAGGGGAATATTTTGAATATAAATTCATGATCTGTAGCTGAATGCTGGGTTGTTTTTTTTTGGTTTTGTTTTTACTTATGATCCTTCTTTTTCATGTAAGAATGCACAGCTGTGACTGTTCCTTCAGGGAGGATTTAATTTCCTAGTTACTCATGAGTCAATCTGTGCACAATTGCTTTCAAGTAATTCCTGCCTTTACCATGTAGGAACTTTTGGAGAAGGATAAGTAGAATAAAATGCTTGGCACCTTTGCATCTCCCCATAAAGTGTGTGTGTGTGTGTATAAGCAGGCTGTGTAAGTGTGTATATGAAACAAGGACTTCAGTTGGTGTTGTCAGCTTGCGTAGCTGTGGCTAGATGGCTTCCAATTGACTTGGAGTATGTGTAGAGTAAATTATTTCTGCTTGCAAAAGACCATATATTTCTAGAATCTCTGGGTATATTTAGTAGCCTCTTGCAGTACCTCTTAAAGTACAAGAAAGCAACATGAGTTTATTTGTTAGATGTATGATGTTAATATATTCTAAGATAATAGAAAATAGCCAGTCATTTATCTGAAGTCAGTGTGGAAGGGTGTGTATGGATTGATTTCTTTCTTCATGAGCACATGTGTTGAAAAGTGCTAGGTTTAGAGATATCAAAAAAGCATGGCTTTTTCTTTTGAGTAGTAGACAGCAGAATTTTCCCTACCTTTTTTGGCACTGCTTTTTAAAAAATGGTAATTATTTTACATTGATGGAACAATGCTTTTGAAGAAATTGCAACATTTTCTTTAAATTGCAACATTTTCTTTAAATGGGAGATTTCTAAATTACAATGCATCTCCAGTTGTAATATTTGTAAGAAGTCTCGTGTCCTCACAGATTCACAAAACTGACTACCTCTCATACAAATAAGGACTTGGTGGTATGACAAAATATTTAAGTCAGGAATGCAAAAAAGCAATAAAAGAGTATTTTGGAAGATCTTGCCCCTGGAAATTAAATAGTACATCTTCTTTTCAAAATTCTCAAGAAAAAATCCCACTGGAGCACTACAGCGAGAGGAAGGGAAGATGAAGGATACAGAACACAGGCACAAAATTCCCATTTGTAGTTATGTAACAATATGGAATAATCCATCGTTTGTTATCACTAATTATTTCAGGTATTGCTAAATTAAAGATAAAAATACCATTGTGAGCTCACGTACCAGCAGATGTTAGTTTATTGCATCAGTTCTTCGTCTTGCCTGGTAATGTGTTTGCATGCATGTTACTTATACATTAGCCTTTCTTTTTGACAGATCTATCATCTTGCTAATGAATAGATTAAAAAATGACAGCTCTTAGAAAACACAAATACAGTTCCTGTTTGGAAACTGGGAAGGCCATTATTTAACAAACTTTTTCTGTATATTGGTCTTATGGCCATTTAAAACATTTTTTGTGAGATGTGAAATAATTCCTCAGATTAGCAATTTCATTCTTCTGCTAGAAAGAACAGTTTAAGATGTTTTAAAGATTACTTGGCGTAAATACAGTTTTCTGAAGTGTAGAGTTTTTTTCTTATATTTACATATTTGT